TCTCAACCCCATGGAGAGGACCCTGTCCCCAACCTCCTCACATGGAGACTCACTTTCTGTTTCCTACGACCCTCACCAGCAGCCTCCACTCCCGCAAAAAAACAACAACACCACGCTCAACTGCTTTATTCTTTTTTGTACTTAAGAGTGTATCCCACTGCTCTATTCATTATTCATTATATATTAATATAGCAGTGTATCCCACTGCTATATTGGTATTTGTGTGGCTTTTCGATTTGATGTACATTTAGCTTCCTACATCTGTTTGGATTTAATAGGATTTGCTGTGTTCATTCTTTTTGTATTTTTTTTTTTGGATGACATAAAATATTTTGTATAGTTCAAAAGTCCAGACTGTACAAAGGTAGTTCCCAAGAAATCCCTAATCCCATCCCTGCCCCTTACCCTCTTCCCACTTATCCCTCAGAGGTGACATTTTTACTTCTATTGGTCACCATTTGTATTAGCTTTTGGCTTATCTTTACTATTTCTATTTTGAAAAAAAAAATCAAATTACATATATTCATGAATCTCACACAAAAGGGAGCAGACTGCATGTCATCTGTTGCACTTTGCCGGAAAAGCACATTATGCAGCCTCACCTGCAAGCACTGTCTTTACTTTCCGGTATCAGCGGGATGAGATAATGTTAATAAAAACATGCTAACAGAGCCACTTGTTAACAACAAAAAAAGTGATCCTTCCAGTGTCCGTTTTTAGAACTTTTCGAAAAAATGAGGGGCTGAGCCAGGTGCTCTCCCAGGCTCCTTGCTGTTCCAGTGGGCTAAATGATCCTCCCAGGAAGGGCACAGTGGAAGATAGCAATAACCCTCCTGTCTTGGGAACTAAATTCCTATTTATTTCGAACTCCAGTAAAATTACGTTTGTTGCTGCAAAAGTTTTCAAGGGCATGTTGGAGACCTGGCATCTTGGGATGGGGGGCTGCCGGAAGGAAGAGAGAAATCATTAACAGACCAGATGTGGCTCCACATTCCTTGAAGCAAACTCAACATAAAGGAATGGAGGCTTACAGAAAAGTAAAATGAAGGGACAAGTGTTTATTCTGATCAAGAAATCTTTCTTTAGGAAAAGCTTCACTGACAGGACCCTGTAAATAGTATGTTTCTCTAGTGGATTGAAAAGAATTCCATCTTCAAAAACCTGAGTCACATTTTTTCCCCAGAAACACCCTTTTGTTTATTACCCATCTATCTGTAGTATCAGAATGCAGACCTTTAAAAAAGTAAAAAGGAATCATAAATCTGTTGTTGAGGACTTTGGCAGCCGAAGAGTATGAGGAAAGGGTGGGAAGGAAAAACAAACAAGAAATTGTTAGCATTTTTTTTCAAGAACAGTAAGGAGGAAATTCAATTTTTTTCTCACTAAATCTGAAAGGTTCCATATTTTGGGCTGGTTCACAGTAATGCATGGAAAGTGCTGAAATGTTCCAAATTTACTTATATTATGATGCAGGTTAAAATGCTAAATTTGAAATAAGATCACTTATCTGTTCTTAGTGATTTATAAAACCCTGGTGACATTATAACCCAAACAGAGTAAAAAGCATTCCAGTCAGGTTCATGGTTTTCCTAACATCTTCATAAATTCAGTAATACTTAAACATTACCTATGAGAACCATAAAAAGACATTTTGAACTCTTTTTCTTAACATGCCAGGAATACATAGTAAATACACACTATAAAGTACAATTTTAACAACAGGATTTGTTACATTATCAACTCAGTAGCGTGGGAAACCAAGTCATGTATATATCTTTTTTCTCCCCTTTAAATGAGAGGTTTCTTTCCATTTCCCATTACTCTTGGTGCCACAGAAAAGAGGGGCTGAAGGGTAGAGCAGGACACAGCTGTCTGTTGAGACCTCTGAGGGGGGGGGTTAGGGATCTAAGGGGAAGAGGTGCACGGCTGGCAGCCAGCTTAGGAACTCCCCACGTAAGGGTCCAGGCTCTGCCGGCGTATCTGCATAGTTGCTGGGATGTGGGTCGCTCACCATGTGAAAAGATACAAAATGTATGTCTCCACGAGGCACAATGTCAGTGCTGGAGTTCTGTGTAAATTTAATTATTAGCATGAACTGAAGGTACTGTCATTGTTTAACTCGTCCGACCTTTTAAATGAATAACCAACCTTGAGGCTTAATTGGATTTTTAAAAAATCCATTTCTAGCCATTGCCTAGTGTTGAAATGAAGTGCTGCATTCTCAGGCAATTGTAAAATCAGTTTTGCGCAAGATCATTTTTTATTATTTACAACTTTAAGACGACATTATCCATCTCAGGAAGCATTTTACGCACACGTATGCCTTCTGTAAACAACCACAAACATCCACGTATGTACACAGAGGCACGTCACAGAAGAATCATGGTTTTCCGTCCCACAGCAGGCTGACTCATCAGCAACCTCCTCACACCAATTACACGAAAACTCGAGCTGGGCATAATGACAGACCACTGTTTGCAAATCTCTCAGCCTCAGCCAGTCTCATCTTTGTAATAAGAAAAAAAATCCTTGAGGAAGCTTTTTACCAAATCACATTTTGACCATTAAATCTTTCTTGAAGAAGGTCATTTATTTTTATGGAAAGAAATGAACAATTAAAATGGCATAAGCAGAAATAGTCCTGGTCTGGAAATCAGAAAGTTGATGATTCTGGTTCTAGCCTGTGACCTTGGCGCACTCTTACGTGGGTCTCAGTTTCCCCATCAGGAACAAGGGGAGGCAGGGATGAGGTGAGATGTTCTCTCTCCCCTCCAAGTTGATAAAAATGGAGGTCTAATATGGTGTCCTGGGTCAGAACACCAAGTTAAAAAAGAAAAAAACACTTGAGTCCCTCAGCATTGCCTCTGAGAAAAAGACCAAATGATGCAAGCCAGGACCTTTTGCTTCCCTTACAACATCTATAAAATGAAAGCAGTGGTGATTACTAATGGCAGAATTTGGATGGTTAGCTAAACGCAATTACAGAACTACAGTTGACAAACAGAAAATGCTCAACCCAGTGGTCTATTTTAACTGAGCCCAACTGAAATATGCACTGTGTTGAACAGGGCCTCATTTAAATGGTCTGTTTTAGCCAGATCACAGAGCTCACGTGGCCAACCACACCATTATCCCTTGGCATTCAGGACAGTCCAGGGAGCTAATTTGGACAATTGGACAAATGATTATTTTCTTTTGCCTCAATTGACCAGACAATTGTGCACAAGTCTTTGCCATTTGACCCTGTGGAATGTCCCTTTGTGTAGCAAGAGAACCCAGTTGTAGACGGGTACAATGACATCCATCTGAGGTGGCATGGAATTGGGGACAAGATACACACAGATGACGCCCACTGTCTAACTCTCAGAAACACTTCCGGGGGAGCTGCAAGTCTCTGCATGCTCATCCAGGGCCCTCACTAGTTCATTCTAATGCCAGCCACTTAGAAGGAGGTTGTTTCCCCTCCGTTTCAAAACAGAATTAAAATTCTGGGAAGAAATGAAAATTTATCATAACTAATAAATGAATTAGAACCACGAAGAAGCAGGAAACTCTCAGCGCTAACCTGCCTTCCCTACACCTAACTCATGGGCATCTATCTCTTCTGGGAAAAGGTCTCTCCACGTGGTCCCCTCACAGTCTGACTCGAATAAGGAAGATCATTATCAGGGCAGCATGTAGAGTCTATGCTGTCCTGTTACATTCAGATATAAGTTGTGCTGGCCTAGGCGATGTGTTCAGCTGTGGCTGTGCAACAATGGCAAGCAGACCAGAAGTCTGGAATGCTCCAACTTTGGGTTAGGATCAGACGTCTCATAGGATGTCTGCTAAGTTCACCAGAGAAATTCTACATCCAGGCTGTTTTCCTATAGCCAAGGTGAGCATTCAGTGGGGACACCCAGATTCCCAGCCTCTAGGCAAGTCACACCTCCAGTACGGGGTCCGAGTCTTGGCAGTGCTCTGTCAACAGCAATGTTTCAGATTATATCAGCATATCCTTGAAGCGTCATTTTTTGTCAGGAACATAACCCTAGAGGTCACCAACCAGGAATTGCACACACCCGGAGCCCACACATGCACACATGTGTTGCCACCTTGACACAGTCCCTTTCAGGATGGAGAACTTTTAAAATGTTATCGCCGCTGATCAGAATGTTCTTGAACTCTATGGCAAATGCCTTTTCTTTGAGAGTGAATAGGACTCCTAGACAGAGCCAATGGCTGATAAGCTAGTTGGGGAAATGTAATTTCTAGTTGAAAAGCAAGCGAGAGCACGGCAAAGAGGGGCTGCTTTGGCAAGGTTTGTTGATAGACTCTGAAGAGCATCGCTGTGAGCAACAGCGCATCTCAGGGCGAGACTCACAGTGAGCCAAGACTATGCAGAATGACAACTGATATCTTCCTATGTAGAGACTTGGGTATTTAAGAAAAAAAAAAAAAAAACACAAGTCCATCATGGCTCCATGACTACAACTCCCACCAGGCCCATGCATACATAAGAATCAAGCTGTGTGACCCTGGCTATCCTGGCCTTTGGGAAGGACCCTGGGATGCGACACATTACGGGGAAACACAGTCTTGGTTTTGAGTTCAACTGTAAACCCCATTCCTGAAGTTTTTGGTGTAGCAGGAAACACTCAGTCATTAGGAAAGTCAAGTCTCTGGAGTCTGTATGCAAGAAATGCTTCTTAACAAAGTACCTGACAGCTTTATCTGAAGATTTCCAAATGTTTCTTGGCATGTATATAAAGCATATGTTTTTATAGGAAAAATACCTGCCTTTTAGGTAGCTTTCCTTTTTTTATACTGGATAGCAAATAGATTGGTCCCTCAGAAAACATCCATCAGATAGATCGACTTTCAGAAACCGAGCAGAGGCCTCAGGCACAAGACAGATAGTCATTGGTTCAAAGGGTCCCAAACCTGGCCAGGTCCCCCCAACACACACGCATTGGAAGGAAACACGAGCCATTGTTAAAATTAATACTAGGATTGCAGGATGTTCTTTAATCTGCATGATTGCTTTATTGTACAAAAAGTTTCCAGTAACAGTAAATTAGTTTTAAAAAAGGACAAAAAAAAGTCATTTTGGATAGAAGCGCTCTACTAATTGCTTTATTTAAGCATACAAGAAAAAAAGCCTTATCTGACCAATTAGGTTGGAAGGGTTTTATTACCTTAAGAAGCCATTAGCTAGGATAAAACACTGAAAGCACTTGTGTCAAAACAAATAAATAATGCTCTCTCAATTAGCAGAGAAAGCGGTAAATCCGTTAAATTAGAGACACACACTGCTTCACATGGCAGAGCCCAGCCAGCACCACCACCCCCAAAGCGAACAAAACAAGAGACAGCAGTTTTCAGTTATGATCTCAGGAAAGATCAGGAGCATGAGAGAACCAGCGGTAAACATTTCTGCTTCCCTCCCACCCCCCTCAGCTAGAGCCAGCCAGGGCACCTGGAGGCTGAGTTCTGGGTGCCCTCTGAGGGCACAACCCAGGCCAGGGGAGACCAGACTGGGTGATCATTACCTCCATGGTCCAACAGAGAGGCTGGAAGGGTATGGCATGCCCACAGATGGTGGCTGGCACCTGACCACGGAGTCCATCGCATTCGGAGGGAAAGAAAACCTGAGGCACCAGAATATCATTGTTTTTTCTTCTCCAAATGCTACTGATCTTCCCTCAGGTACAGGCTCAACAGAAAAAGACAGTGGTTTGAGAAGCCAACAAGTCACACCTGGGTTTGGGCTCTGGGGCCAGCTCCAGGCCGGTCTGTTGGTTTCCTTCCAGTCACACAGCCCATAGCAGGACTTCAGCTGGCCTTGGGCTGGCTTCAGGCAGAATGGGGTCATTCCCCATCCCCACATGACAGCCTTAAAACAATTGCTAATCAGATTCATTATTTTACCCAAATGGGTTGAGGAAACAAAAACCAACCCTAATCACTCTGTTTGTGAAAATAAATATAAATAAATGGTGATCCTTTCTTAAAGGGTCACTTTCCTTCAAGGGTATGACTCAGCATTTAAAAACGCTCCAACACAAGTACAGTGTTGCCACCATAGACTACTGTTGAGGCAAGCCCCCAAGGTTGAACATCCCCACCCCTAAGAGCAGCAGGTCTGCCTGGAACACTCTGACCAGGGCTAACATTGACTGAGACTGCAGGACCCTCCGGGGATCCTCAGGATTGCGGTGGCCCCACACTCAGGTGACTGAGGAGGCACTGGGCCTTATTCCCTGACCACCTCTCCTAATGTGTTTCTCAGGGAATAGCATGCTACTTCCTGAAATGCAAGGGCCACCTTCATTTCACTTTGCAGTTTCACCAGAAATAAATCCAGTGGCTGCCTGGAGGCAGCAACAGCTTAGGAAGGGAAGGCTAGGGCTTGGGGGTCAAGCCCATAATGTGTTTGGACAACCTGAATCTCTGGCCTCAAGTTTACATTTCTGGAAACAACTTCAAAGTCAATTCTATAAAAGGGACATTTTATGTGACTGGTCCAAACAAAACGTAACGCATTTAATGACGTCATGTTCTTCTTAAACTTTTTAAGAGAAGCAAAAACAACGGAAAAGTCATAAAAAATTACACAAAGACCAAGAAGACTATACTGGTGTCAATCAAAACAAGGCCAATAAAACATAAACAATTTCAGTTTTCAGAGTTATCACCACTTTCTACGTTATCCCACAGTGCCAGGAATAGATGCGAGCACCCTGTTGATAACAGGCAGGGAAGCAACACACCCTGCTTGGGCGAGCTATCCGCTCACGCACAAGGGTTCCCACGTCTAGACCGCCACAGTCCTTGGCAACATGCCTGCTTTCTGGGCATTGCTCAGTGGCCATGGAAGAGCCGATAAATCAAACCACTGGTGGAATATTTTACTTTGAAATGGAGTGATGTTTGGTTAATAATTTGAGACCCACTAATCCTAAATGGGGTGACCCATTTAAAATGGCCTCTGTGTAAATTCACAGTTCATTAAATGGAGTCTGGTTTGAACAGGTCATTATGTAGTTGGTATATAAGTAATGGATTGAGCAAGGATGGCTGGGGATATCCACTGGCTGAATCCGGTGACTTTCATGACACTGGCAAGTTTCCTTTTAATGTAAGGTTCATTCAAATCATCAACTTTTAAATTTAGGTGGTTTTGCTTAGTAACCCCTTTTGGTTTACAGTAGAAAATGCAGTGCAAACATTTCAAATGAGGAATATTCCATTTACAATTAATTTAAACTTATGAAGCTGTTTTAACTGGCCCATCTAAATGTGTTAATTAACATCAATGATGGTTCTTATTTTTCACACTTTGTTACTCTGATCATTAACAGTGATGGAAAAGCTAAATTAAGTTAATGGGGAATGGATTATAAATTCTTAAAGGACTTCTTAGTTTGTTTTCAACTGGAAAATATAGAGAGAAAGAGGAAGAGGCATTTTTGCCTCTACTCATAAATTTTTGGGACCAATTTCTTAAAAACCAGATGGTTTAAAAAATTTTTTTCCAAAAATTATTTGAACATGCTGCTCAGACATGACTGCTAAAAAAATAGCATATACACATCTAATACCGAACAGCTTCTACAGTGCCTGTAAACTTTCAATACATTTTCTCTTTCTAAAAAAAATATATATTATAACCGATCCCAGAACTCAACCTTTTTCTGCAGCAGTATCAAGGGTCCTTAAACTCTCAACAATGAAGGAAAAACAAAAGCTATCCCCCTCTCTTGAGCGCGACTGGGGGGAGTAGAGTCCGTGAAAGATCGCTGCCCGGTGCCCTCGGGTTCCAGGGCTGCAGCTCTGCACACCCGACGTCCACACGTGCGGCCCACACGAGCACCCAGGGCCACTTATCGAGACTTCACGCCGACGAGGACAACAATGAGGACAATGATGATGACAAATAATATTAAAATCACAAGCATCTTCCGATTCTTCTTCTGATACTGTTCTGCCTACAAAAAGAGGGGGGAAAGGTAGTCATTCTCCCCAAAATCCCAAGTCAAGTCTCGCTCATCTCTGATCTGGGGCTTCTGGATTTATCTGTGCACTAACTGGCATCTCTGTCATAAGCTGCGTTATTATAATCCCTCATCAATCCGAGCGAGTTCAGTCACTATTAGGGGACAGCACACAACCTAGCAGCTGTTTGTTTACCCTGGACTTAGGAATGAACTGGTCTGAATCTATCGTTAAAACAAAGGCTGACAGGAAAGTCACAGATGATGCTTCCAGATCCAGGTGATCCTGCCTCTCCCTACTTCACTCCCACGTATGTCACTATCCCTCCTGTAATACCTGCTTCTGGACAATGCTCCTTAAGGAATGCATACCACCCTCACTGAGAGAGAGACAGCTGGCAGGGATTACCACCAGCAGTAGGTAGGGAACGCATGGTCCCAAAGAGGACCATTTTCTACCTACCCTAACACTGGAAAAAAGAAAAAAAATCTCATCTTCTGAAATTAAAACAGGTACGTGTGCCCCATGGATGTCACATGCAGAAAGAATTCATCTGAGGCAAGGCCCCCGTGCTGACAGCAGAGGGACTTGCCCAGCTGGACCTGGGGTGAGTCCCCTCTATATCCCTTCACCTAAACTCGTACCCGGAAACTCGGCAGGACGTGGGAACCCCACCTCACCTGTGGTGCAGAAATGTCGAAGTGCCCCACATTGCTGGTAACAGACAGAACATGGAAAAAGGAAAGCTGCCAAGAGGTCTCTAAGCACAACAGGGGAGTGTGTACGGCCCTCTCACAGCCCTGCTGGAATGCCTCACCTGTCTCCACCACCCCTCAACAACCTTCTGACTGTGGGCTGATTTCCCAGTGAGCCTACACTCATCTGCCAGGAGACATCAGGACAGGGAAGACCCTGGAGAGACCGCTCAGTGTGAGCCACTCCCAGGGCTCAATCATCCTGAGCCCGGCCAATTGCCCAGCAAACGGCCAGCGTGGCTGGCATCACTGTGCCCTGCAGTAAGGCGGGCCCATGCCTACTTTAACACACGAGGGAAGCCAGAGCTGAATCACAGCCCTTAAAACCTCTCAAGATGATTTATAAAGCAGAGTCTAAAACAAAATATTTAGTTCCCACTAGATTTGTTCTTTCCTGCGGAGAAAGCTTTTCCTTCTGTGTTTTAAAGCATTTCACTAGTTTTTATTTAAGAAACTTCAAAACCAATGCATAATTCAGCAGTATATCAAAACCTGGGTGTTAGAGAGCGGGAAGCTGAAGTTCATTTTCACCTTTAATATACAGGGCTTAAAAAGATTCTGCATAGAAAAGCCTTCTCCTCCTCATCAGATGCTGGGGCCTCATTCTCACCTGACACGTGGCAACACACACAGAAAAGACAGCTACATTCTGGTCAGACTTGGGCAGGATCTGGCTTTCTGTAAACCAGATACTACTATTAGATGAGGCCATCTCTGGGCCAGGAAGCAACTGTCTTCAGAAAGAATGAAAGAGCAATGCATCAGAGAATTGGCTATGCTCACTATACGGCTAGAAATGCCAGTGGGTCTCAAAGATAAAATAAAATGAGTATATTATATTTGTGAAATATTCTTATATTCCTTCTAAAGAAAATATGTACCCAGAAAATATGAGAGCCACTCAGCAGTTTATGCATGTTTCTCATAACTGATTATAATATAGATTTCTAAGATGCTTTTCATCTATTTTTTAAAAAAGAAAGAAATTAACAAATATCATTTAAAAAATCCTCGAAATAGCTACCTTATTAGCAAAGAATAAAAGAGCTACTACCTTCACTTCAACAAACTTCTATTTCTCAAGGTAGTACAGATATGCTATGGTAATTAAAGAGAAAATTAGATTTTTATCTTTTCCAGAATGATCCTTCACCAGCAATTCATCAGAAATGTGTCACAATAAGAAAAGCCTGAGTCAGCAGCAACAAGCAGACCGATTTTTCAACACATATTTTAGCAAATGCCCATTCAATTGATTTCCTAAAACAAGAAGACTCAGAAAGGATGAAATATTTTCTAAAATGACGAAAACTCCAATCCCTTTTGACTTTACTGTCACAAAATAGAATTCCTAGCAATTTCTGAACGAGTATGAGGTACACCTGGAATCATCAACTGCAGTAAAGGCACTGCACACACCGGGGGCTTCAAATAAAATGATGTGTATATCTTTACACCACAGTATTCAGAGCTGAAAACATACACAAGAATGCTGTAGGCACTTATGATGAAAGAGAACCCTTTTATGAATTCTCAGTCTTTGATAATAGTTCCTAAAGTTCCCAACTATATTGAAAGACATGTTATTACCTTGTGAAGCTGTTTCAAGCCATCTTCGGTTTTGATACAGGACTGTTCAACATTATAGTCAATTCTATCCAGGACTGTACCCTGGGCAATAAATGACAGTTACAGACGATCAACAACTGCAACTGGGAAAATGGAACTTCAAAAATGAGATATGCAAATCACAGACATCATTGTCCAAGGGACTATTCTGCTTTCCATAACTATGTCATATAAGGGTACACCAAGAGCCCTGAAAACCCCGCAACAGTGGGCACCGGTGGCAGTGCTGTGTTTGGTGCCCTGAGGTCTACCTAAAGAAAGAACAACACTAATAGAGGCTTCCTTTTTGGATTTAGCCACTATAGAACATGGTACATTTGGACTTACTGGGGATTTAAGAAATATACAGTCCAGAGGAAACAGACTCTGAACAGTAGAGGGCTGGCCCCTGTGCCCTCTTGCTGCTCAAGTACCTGGAGTCAAGTAAGCAGGGGATGCCACTTAAACTTGGCCTGGTGATGACTAGACCTGCAAACTGATTATCATCTCTACAAATGGGTCAGAGCAGAGAGCAGCCAACTCCAATCACTACCTATAACTAAAATTTGGCCTCAAGGAGAACTGTTTAAATTGCTTAATCTCTTAGTTCACATAGGAAGAAGCGGACACTGGGCTATGAGGAAAAACAGGGCATGTATTGGAAACATGCTAGATGAGAAGAGATAGCAGTTCACCAGGAACCGCTGGAGTAATTAATGTAACTGGATCTTCCACAGCCTGAACACTCCATTCTGCAGCTGGTTTCAGGGGGATCAGGACCCAAATCCCTGCCGGCAAGATAATAAAATGCCCTAATCAGATTTTAACGGTGAACAACAATTGAATTCTACTTGAAAGCTAGTGGTTCCAATCGCCGTTACACAATAACCTGACAAAATTGGCAGGGAAATCTTATATATTATTAGAATTATTGCAGAGCTTGGTTAGAATCAACTAGGTCTCAAAATAGGGTGCTCATACATGCACCCTTGGGGCATAAGTGGAGAATATTAGAACTTCTAGTAATTTTTTTCTCTAAAAAAAGATTTATACTGTTTTTATAGGGAGCAACAGTGGTCTATGCATATAATCTATAAACACACAACGTATAGGCTGAATATTCCTTAACCAAAATGCTTGAGATCAAAAGTGTTTTGGATTTCAGATTTTAAAATATCTGCATATATATAATGAGATAAGAGCCACATCTAAACACAAAAACTTATTTATGCTTCATATACATCTTATACACATAGCCTGAAGGTGATTTTTAAAAAATAATTTTGTGCATAAAACAATGTTGACCGCAGCCTGTCATGTGAGGTCAGGCGTGGGATTTTCTACCTGTAGGGTCATGCTAGTGCTCAACACATTTTAGATTCTGGAGCATTTCTATTTTGTATTTTTGGATTAGGAGTACTCAACCTATCTATGTATATGTCTACACACAAAAGCGTACCACACACCCACACACACTTTGAGGGGACAGACTCCAATCTTTTTCTCTGAAAGGAGTATGGGATGAAAAAAATTTGGAGGACCAGAGAGTCCGGCAGAAAACCCATTGTCAAGGAAGGTCAGCTTACGTGCCTGTTCTACGATCATGGCTCCCAAGTCCCTAAATATCTCATTCAGGTCGGAGATCGACTGCACAATCTGGCGGATCTCCCTCTCCCGCTCTTCCACCGTCAGCGTGTTCTGCTGCACCAGCACCAGCTGGTCATCGGTAAAACCCTGGCAAAACAGCAGTACAGAATCTAGTGGTTAGATGTTTTTCCCTCTCAGGAAAGCTATGATGTACCAGTTTAGATATAATTTAAAGTACATGAATTCTGAAAATATTGCTATAAAGCACATAAACTAAGCACTTTTTTTTTTCTAACAGGAAAGATCCAAATTTCCCAAACCAGCAGGTGCTAAAGCACTGCAAGCCACAGCAGGGAACACAGGAGAAGCCACATCTGTGCTGGGCAAGGGCGGGGGAGCAACTCACAGGGCGGCCCGGCACTTCTCTGGGCTTTTCCCAAGAAAGCAGGGTGCACACTACTTTCCTGAAGTTCTGGGAAGCAAATTACAAGGTCTCCCTGTGGCCTTTAGAAAGAAAGTAGTAGTATGGCTGCTCTACCTGCTGCAAAAACTACTTGGTGGACACACAAGTCCACAGTGCTAGTTCATAGATGTGAGAGAAGTCGAGGTGTAGGAGAGAAGAACACAGAATGGAACTCGAGTGCCCAGCAGTCTGCAGCCCCTTCACATACCCGGTCATAAAGTGCATTGTCATCTCCATCATCCATTAGTGGTACTGACGTATCAAAAAAATGCTGGGATCTTTCTTCTCGGTTCTTCATACCTATCGTAAATAGGAATTCACTTTACTTGGACATGTAAACCATCCTGGTTATTGTTTTACCATTAAAAAGAGGAAATCTAGAGTAAAACTCAGCAGCCAAATGGACACAATCTTGGCAGCTACAGAGAAGCCTGTCTGTAAGATGGGTGGGGGGCAGTAAAGGAAAGGGTTCCAAGCCAACAACAACATGCAGGCATTTGGGATCATTCAAGACAAAGTCTCGCTGGAAATGTGCACGATTCACTTGATCCAAGACAAGAATGACATAGCCATCTGAGAATCTCCAAGCGAAGCAGAAACATTTCATCTAACTGCTGCTATATTTTTTAAAAATCAATGTTTCTTTCTAGAAGCATCTCTGGTAAGAATTCCAAATGCCCCTAATCAAATTTTAGAAGTAATAAAATTAAAATACAAATATGCCCATTGTCAGAGCAAGGGAGAACTGAGGCTTTTTTGGAGAATATGGGGACTTTACTGACTACAATGGCAACAAAGAAAAACCTAGTTTACAGGGTAATGAGAACACGGATAGAGCTGAAACTTGGCTTTGTACTACTTGGGAAGTAAAGGTCTGTGGAATAACTCAGTGGTGCCATCAGAGGAAGTGTGGGAGTTCCCCACTCTCAGGAAGTTCTCCCATACTCTCAGCACTCGTGTTGTTATGCACATAACTTTGTGTGACAACTGCTTTGCCTATTTAGGAGTGAACCCCAAGACCCTAACATCTAGAAAACAACAGATTGTACAGTGTGCTAGACTGACTTTCAAATGCTTTCAGCTTGACATCAGTTTCTTAGATGTGAGCTCTCTGGTACCCTCCCCAGCACCCCAGCTGGGCTTTCCTCCCAGGCCTGGATTCCTATGGGGAGGAGGCCTCCTTCCACTGTGCAAGGTGTGCCTGTGTGCAGAAACTACCATGACAGGTATGGGGCTAAATGGAAAACATTTGCAAAAAAGAAGCAAAGAAAACAGAAGGTGCTTTGCTTACTCAATCCCTTCACCAGGCCCGGGCGCACTCACGTTTGAGGTAGCCCGACTGTGCGTGCCGGAAGCTGGTGGAGAGCTCCTGCAGGGCCTGTGCCAGGGAGGCCACCACATTGCCCAGCAGCCGCCCCTCCTGCGTGGAGCAGGCCCGGGCACGGCTCGGCAGGGCCTGCACGGCACGCTGGCACCTGTGGAAGAGCTGGAGAACAGGCGAGGCTCAGGGCATGCCTGGGGGGACCCCCTTCCACCACCCCAAGCCCGAGGTTCACACAGGCTGGCTTGGAGATGTTGAGCTTCACACACACACACACACACACACACACACACACACACACACACACAAACAAAGGCATGACCAGATTTCAGCTCCCACTGTCAAGTGCTTGCTGTGTGCCAGTACTGCACACAGATCAGGCTATACTGGCTGAGTATCTCTTGTCTGAAATGCTTGAGACCGGAAGTGTTTCCGATTTCAGATTTTGGAATATTCACAGAATACACATCAGTTGAGCAACCCCAGCCCAAATATCTAAACTCCAAAATTCTCCAGTGAGCATTTCCTTTAAGTGTGACATAGTGCTCAAAAAGTTTCAAGTTTTGGAGTGTTATGGATTTCATATTTTTGAATTAGGGATGCTTTATCTGTATTATCGTATATCGCTATATGTTCTTCTTATTTAATCACGACAAGCATCTTAAGAGAAAGGTACTATTATTATTACTATTACCATTTTCCAGATGAGAAGGCTAGAGTCTGAGGGAGTAAATGAGAATGGTGCCACTGTTACATTGCTAATAACCAGGGTTCATTCCAATATGCCAGGGCTTTTCCCAAAGCACCACACTCCTCTGATAATTAGCACCCAGGAGACTTAAACAAATTAAAAATTTAAACACAAAGTTTAAATAAACACTTGTCTTAGTATTTAAAAATTAGTCAAGTTTAATATTTTACAAGAAATTTTTCTAGGATACTAAGTTTCTTTTCAATTATGAGGACTATAGTACATTTTTTTTTAGCATGCAGTAGAAATTATACACTTTTAAATCAAATGATTGAGCTTAGTAATGCTCTAAATTTAATTTTTATCTAATCAGTCCACAGTAGTATCTACCAACAATTGAAAAACAGTCTCACACCTCCAAGACATCATAGGCACCTAAGGGGATATTCGGGGGAACTAGGGGCCTCTTGAACTCCCTGTGAGAGCTTCAGGCCGGAAGTGAACTCTAGGAAACTGACCTGTCAGCTTTTGAGGATGTGGGAGAGGCCCAGCAGCTCCCCCCAGGACACGTGCACATCCTCACCTGCGTGATCTCTTGGGTGGTTATTTCAATGGCATGCTCCTCCTCACTGCTGTCATCCAGAGTGGGTCTGTTTAAATGCTTGTCATGCAGGCTGGCTAATTCTTTCATCTTCTGTTTAATCCGGCCAACATCGTACTGTATCTAAACAAATGAAGTCACCAGAACTCCACTGAGGCCTGGCAGGTATCTGTCTGCCTCCAAGGCAATTAGCTACACTCAGAACACAGAATTCCGTCTTCAGCCAACTTGTCGGCTTGCTGATACGTGAGCAACTTTTAATTCACGTTACCAGAATATCAAATACCATTCTTCCTCGTTGTATGGTTTTTCAATTTCTTTCTGTAATTCAGGTAGTTACCACCATTGTTAAAACTAAAGTCAAAATTATTAACACATTCAGACAACTTAACATAAAGCCAAAGTATTTCTAGAAACATATATTCAAGTGTAGTTAAATTAGTTTATATGGACATTCTTAAAATCTGTTTTCACATTTACTTAAATAAGGCAGCGTGAAACGAACATCCACTTACTTCATCCACTCCGTCCACCCACTTAGGAGGTGACCGCTTTGTCACACCAATTGCTGCTTCTGGGTCTAAGCTGATGCCTGACACCAGTGCCATGCGGTCATCGGCAAGCTACAGGGAAATAAAGGGACATGAAAAAATGATTCAAATTCAATGTAAGTCAGCATACTCTTACTCCCTTTTAAATGTTGCTCCCTGAAAAGATAGAGAAATGTAGGAGTAAATGCACTTGCCTGTATTTTAAACTTGCTTTTGATACTGCTAGGATTTGGAATTGTTTTCCTATCTTTTCATGCACCAGTTCTTAATTTCCTTGGGCATACTTGAGAACATGAATTTGACTTGATCTGGCTATAGAAATGTAATGAAAAAGTCAACAGAAGATCCTTAAAAGAAAGACCTCTTAGTACTAGGACTATGATAGAACAGCACGAACCTCAACAATTAACGTGATCAGATACAAGTCAATAAAACAAAACCAGTCTGTGAACGGAACTACTACAGAATTCCCAGCAGTAGCAAGTTTTCCTTATACACACTTATTGTGGAAATAGTGCTGACCAGTTATCCCCAACACATGGTCATTAACCATGTGTTAAAAATGTGTGAAACTGCCTAAAATGGTTAGCAAACTATCTATCATTTGACAAAAGCAATCCTTAAAATCTCAATGCAATCTTACACGGTCATTTCTTTTCTTCAGTTAAATGTCCACAGGCAACACTTTCCTTTATTTTGAAATGATATTGACGGTTCTTGTTTATTTTAACTGTATAGGATGCTGCTGCAGGAAGCGTTTAAGATGGGAGCGAAATCACAGTTTGGCAGTGTTAAGCTGTCGTCTTGCCGGGAGGCCTGAGCAGTTGAAAGCCTCCTGAATTACCCTCCGGAGCTCAGAATGTTTCAATGTCAGTTTCAAAAGATCCAAATGATCACCAAAATATAATGGAAAATAGTCTATAAACGTCCTTTATAGATAATACTTTGCAAATTTTCTAAATCACACATTAGAATTGGGTGAAGAATTCATATTATTTTCTTGCCTCTTCCCTGCATTTATCTAAATTTATTTTTTCATTCACTCAGTAAATATTCTGCTTTTTTAACAATAAAAGAAACAAAATTTAAAAATCTATAGATGAAGGGGAAAGACCATCACATAAGGAAAAACCTGGATCAAAAGAACTCTTCAAGCAATGGTTCCTAAATTCTGAACAGAGTTTAAGTAAAATTCCTAAGAACAAACTGGTATCTTCGTGACCCTCCTGTGCCCAGTGTGGCTTCGGCACTGCACATACATCCACTCAGGAGCACATCTTATGGGAGGACCATGGCCTGTTAACTGCTCCCAGGGCGTCTGGGAGCTGTGACTAAGTTCACCGGTGTTCGACCACCACATGGATGCCGCAGGCCCAGTGTCATCTCAGTTCTTACACAAATGAGGTGTCATCCAAACCCATACTGTCTGGGACCCAGAGACCGTGAAGTGGCAATTCTCGACTACCACTACCTTATGTTTGGTTTTAAGAGCTCACTAATAGAAACTGTACATTCTTTTTATTATCTTAATCCTCACAAAAACTAAGTGAACTAGGAATTATTCTTCCAACCTATAAATATGGAAATTGAAACTCAGAAAAGTTAAGTAGCTTGCCCAAGGTCATTGAGTGATTATGTGACAGATTAAAACCTGGGCCAGCTGATTCCAGAAGCCCCTTCCACCCTAGAAGCTGCCAATCACTCTGGCAGGTCCATGAAATATAACTGCAATTTGCTAAGAAAATGAATCAGGACAACACGCCATCAGATTAAAACAATAAAACATAGTACTTTGATTCATTTCCTACCAACTGCACCAGGGACCACGGGACAGGCTCTGAGCAAGCACATACCTGTTAGGAAAAGCCGTCCTCTCTCAGTGGCCACCTGTGGACAGACAGGAGGTATGCCCATTCCTCACAGGCCCACAGCAGGGGCCTGTCCCCAGGCAATCCCAGGCCAACTTGCTTATTCCTCTCAACACCCCTACTCCAGAGTCACCAAGAGGTACACAACTTCATGGAGCACACACTGACTATGCAGAGGAATAAACACACACCAGCTCCCAAAATCCTGCCCGCTATACAGCAGGTATGGACACAGTCATTGCTGGGCGAGAACTTGAACTCCAACTGTTTACACCAAGCAAAACCTAAATTGCTAAGGCACCTCTTCATGGGTCACAGGCTTTCCCCTATGCCAGTTTATTATCTGATCTACCATATTTTATTACTATATTATATTTCAATAGAGCAGTAATAATAATTTATTTTATTTATTGATTTTCATGCTTAAACTCATGATCTTCTTTTGTACTGTTTTCACTGTTTACTAAAACACATTGAACTAAAAAGATACATAGACAGATAGTATCTCTCTATCTAAATTTCCCTGCATTGTGATTAGTATCACTTTTATCCAAAACAAATAAGAAATTATAAACCACATATGAAAACCAGTTGAAATGGATTCAATTCTTTGAAGCAGTACTTAATCCTACACAATAAATGTGTTCCTGCCAAATTAGATGAAAACAAAACTGGGGAGAACATCCTCGCTTATCTTAAGAGTCCTAAGGTAGCTTGCTAACGAGGAGACCCCCACACGAAGGGCACAGACACCAGTCCACACAGCCAGCTCCAGCTGCCTACATGCGGCACGAGGATTTTGCCAATAAGACAGAACAGCTGATTCTTTGGGGATGCAAACTGTAAGCAGCAAATAACTTGTCTTCTTTACAATATAGTCTATAGCTATAGTTCATCATGATAAAGAAATGCTATCCTACTGAGAAGAAATGGGTGGTTTCTTCCAGTGGCATGGATCCATGATGTGTGCCTCAGTACACGCTGTTAAAAAAAAAAAGACTACGCTTTCGAAAAGAAAACATAACTGAAGATAAATGTCAACTATCTGAAGTTAGAACAAACGTGAAGATTTAAAAAACATTTTAAGTGCAAAATAATCACCTTGCAACTTTAGCAACCTCGCTTCCCATGTAAAAGCACATTTCTTATTTGGTGAAGAGCCAGTGTATATACCACTTTCCAAGCTGCCATCCTAGTCCATACAGACCTCAAAGAAACAGTCAGATTTCTAATTCTCCTTACTTATCCTTGCTGAATTTCAACTCGGTTCCCCTCCAAATATATGATGCTGATTATTGAAGTTTTTTAAAAATGAATTTGTGCATCTGAAGTAAAAAATAAATTAAAATTTTAAATAAAAATTGTACTTATGAGAATTAAGGATTCTTGTCTCTTTGGTTTGTACTCCCATCCCCTAAGAACTATGGGGTCTACTAACCTAACCCAGAGACACCACTCCTGAGGAAAATGCAGAATAATTTGAACAGATCCTCAAAACACATACTCAGACGGCTCTCTTGCCAGTCTCACTACAGTTATTTTCTGCCCTTGATTCACTTTAGACACTGACACTTGTCCCTTAAAGAATACCAGACAGTATGGACAAGTTCTTGATCTATGGAAGGAACACATTCTCTCATTCCCTCCCTCTCTCTCACACAAATCTTGCTGTTCCAAATAGGCAGCCTTCCTGCTCTTACAAAACCCTGCCTGAGTGAAGGCTGACTGAGTGTAGTACATGAGTAAGGAAACAGCAAAGCCTCTACTGAGACTGGAAAAGTCAGATACACCTCCTACCCTTCTAAAAAAATAAACTAAGTTTAGCCATAACGCATTGGTAATGAGAACAATACTGACAATTCTGGACTGTCTGTGGCAATGAACATTTTAAAAACCCAGAAGGGATGTTGAAAATAACAGCCTGGCAACTCTTGCTTCCATGTGAGCCTCTGGGAGCGCATATGATGAAGTTAGACCACACGCACGACCCACTGGGCTCAGGAGAGCCGCAGCTTCGTTAATAGACAATTAGGCTTAGGGAACCTCGGCTTATTGGAGGAGTGAATAAACATGTGGATAAAAGAGAACTGGGGGAGGGGGGAAGTCAGCACTGAATTATTTTAAACCTGTGACAAATTTAAAAAATAATTACCTTTTCTAATCATAAAATTAATAGTCAAATACTTTTTAAACTGTACAAAAAATATACAAATACAAAACCTGAGAATCACACTACCCTGATGCTGTAGGTTTCACTAATTTTCCTTTTTTTCCTTAACTAATAAATAAACACTTGGGAAAAAAGGGAAGAAGCAACACATATCACCTGTCTTCTGCCAATACTGTCCTAAGCACTTCTCCTGGTTTGGACTCTCTCAGTCCCAACAATTCTTTTACAAACAGGAACTGAGGTCCAGCCTGGCTTAAAGGCCTTCCCCAGGCTGTATGCCAGGCTAGGCTCTCCCAAATGCCCTTCCTAGCCTGTGTGGTTTGGGAGCTTGACATTTACATCTTGTAATTGTTTGATAGTTCCTATTTTGAATTTTAAAACTCTCAAACTTGGGAGATTATTTTGCCCTAAGAGGAGAAGCAGATTAAAGGCAGAGGCCCAAGGAGAGGTCAGATCCTTCCCTAGTGAGAGGAGTCCCTCACTTAGCATCTTCTAAGAGGAATGCAGAGTGGCATCCCCAGGCTGCTGGATCTGAGTAGGAGAATGACAAATGAACAGGGACAGACAGCCTGCAGGACGCCCCTGAGTGAGCAGGAGCCATCAGGTGTCTTGACTTTGGGAGGCCCAAGAGATGTGCATTGGGGATGTTTGCTCAGGCCTCACCTACAGAGGGGTGGCAGCCACCTAATCCACTCCAGGGCCGGGAGACACTCTGTTCCGAGAAGACACTAATTCAGAGCCGACTCCAGCCTTGGGAAGGACTCTGGACACCAACGGCATCCCAGCTCCTAGTTGGCAGCCAGCACCTCAAGTGATGAACATACAGTTACAGTCTGCTGAATGAGCCAACAACACAAGGGTGGAATGAATGAATGATGAAACTAAAGTGTGTTCTGTACAATTCCGGAAGCTATACTGCATGAAAAACATCATGGGGCTGGACAAAAAAGGAAAAGAGGCGAGAGAAACGTGCAAGGGAACAAGGTGGCTGTGAGCGTGGGGAGCAGCCTGACCCCCACAGCATGTGAGGGGCTGTGGGCAGAAGGTGGCTCTCCTGCAGGGTCTCCGATCTCAAAGCGTGACCCCCATCTAAGCCCTCGAAGGCTGAGCATAAGAAAAGCAAAGGGGCCTGCCAAGTTCACACAGCACACAGCCAGTTTCTGGAACATGCTGCCAGAAAAGCACAGGGAAGATGGGAAACAGTTCAGATAGCAGACCCCTAAAAGTCATCAGGATCACTAGGGGTTTCTCCTTGGAAAACCACTCACTGCTTCTTCAACTCCAACGGGTCTGTTATGTGTTATTCCCCCTACACTTCCCTTTGGGGTCATCAGTTCCATCTTTCCACACTGCTTAGTAAGCAGCAGCCTCCACTCCAACCTCTCGTCTGATCCCACAGTGCCTGCTCTCAGCCCCTGTGCCATTTAAAAGTTGGATCAGCAAAACCATCCATGGCCACTGTACCCCAGAGATACTCGCCTCTCCAGGGTCCAGCTGGGTGCTAGCACCAAGGTTCCCGAATGGGACAGGAAACCTGGTGTGGGAATGACCATCACACCTGGTTCCTTGAGCTTCCAGCAAGGGTTTGTTTTTAAATATGAATTGTTTTTTAGTGACAAAGTAATAGACACACATGGTTTAAAAAAAATATATCCACCCCAAGAAAGGATCTTCAATGGAAAGGAGGTTTCTTTTCTACCCCAGACTTTTCTTGGGTGGTATCCACTGTTAACAGTTTCTTGTATATCTTTTCTGAAACACAGAAGCATACATGTGAATTATCTTTAAATTTTAAAAAAGGGCAGTTTTTCTTTTTTGACAAACTTGCCCATAGCAGGTCTTTCTGCCATGAATCTTCCTTTCTCCTTCTCTTCTTCTTGCTAATAAACTCTGTTCTAAAACTAAAAAGAAAAGGAGGGGAATAATAGAAATCCCATAATCCATGCTGCTTTGCATTTAGCTTCCCTCCTTCCTAGTGGTGTGTCTGGGAGCCCATTCTATGGTGGCTTCAGAGATGGGCTTTACTCTCCAAATGCAAGAGTCTCAGGGATGCTCGATCACTAATTTAAACAGTTTCCAATGAAGGCTATTTCAGTTGTGCTCAGTCTAACTATCAACTATCAACTAGTTAAGGGTTTTAGAATGCACAGGTAGACCTTAATCTACTAGTTAGGACCCCACTGTCATCCTACTCCCACTTTACTATTCACCCTTCTAAATTAAAATAAACAAAAAAACTCCCCCCTCCATGACTCTATTCAAAAGGACTACACTCAGGAAAAATATTTTTATCCCTTGTTGCTGAAACTGATAATAGACACTTTTATCCCTTATTGCTGAAACTAATAATAGACACAAACACTAACAGCAGTTTAATCTCATTTTTCCTCAGTCCTTTTACTAAGGCTACTAAAATCAAGTGCTTTGAATACATACACTCTAGACCCTGTGGGCGAGATGCTACCAAGTAATGAAAAGGCCAAAAGCACACTGCTAGGACAGACCCATGTGAATATCAGCTCCAGAAGCACAGGCGGTGTCACTTATCCCAGACACGAATGACCAGGAGGACTCTCCGGGCATCAGTCCTGCTTACTTGGGGCCTTCACAGATACCTTGGCCTACAGTCTACCTAAGCAAGTGCAACACTCATCTTCAGAAATCAGGAAGCTACAGACATAATCCCCAAAACAATCTGGTTTACTTCAAGTTCAAGGAAATATTCAACCTCTACTGCTTCCAAAGTTGAGACACTTTCCTAAGAGTAATATACAATGTTCCAAAACCCTTTTCTAAATTATCAGTTCATGTGATGTGAAAATATATTAAACAAGTTATAAGTATTGAATTGTTAAACACAATTATAAAGCAATCAAAATAAAGGCTAAAATATTTATAAGCCCTGTTAGCATTTTATATATGAGCAAAGACTTCAGAAGAATCAGGTATTCTTACAGACTAAAAGAATCAGGTATTCTTACAGACTAAAACATACAAAAATATTCAAAACACAATACCTCATCCAGCTCCTGAAGAGACATGTTGTTTCCATCAGTCCCATCCAGTTAGGGATAGCAAAAAGAAGCATGGGACAGACAGACAAGGCATGGTCAGTTGAGAGAACACTGAGATTTTGAGCAACTCTAAGCTGACTAAAAATAAAGGCATTTTTTAAAGTCCTCCTCTTGATTCTTTCTTCTTAAAAATAAGCTACATCAATATACATTTTTATTTTTATTTACTGTGGTTGTTTTGGAAACCAGAAAAAACAGTAAATAACTGTAAATATTAAAATGCATTACAAACAGAGAACACACACTTGGTTTCATTTCACAAAAATACACTGTTAATCTGTTTCATAAACACCAAATATCACATATAATACCACATTCTAAATTTTCCTTAGGAAGATAAAATAAGACAGCAAAGCTAAAATGCATCTTTGCCATGTCAAATCAATGTATATTTTAACATGTAGCCCAGCCTTGCAAATGTACAAAAAAATTAAAATAAAGTAAAAACGAACAACCCACAAATATTGCCCACAGCGGTATTCAGATCACATGTGAGTGGCCACATATGTAAGGTCTGCAAATTAAATCCCACAGACACGGCTTCAGCCCTGGTAATGCGAGAGCTGAGAATCCACTCTTTCCCAGAGAGAGACACAGGTGGCAAAATAAAAGAAAAACTCTTACCATTTGCTTGGTATGTATTAGTATTAGCTAGAAAGCACACTGTTACTTATAAAAGCAAGCAAACAAGACAAAACAAAAGATAAGAAGAGTCTGTTGTTGTTGTTGTTTTAAAGGGAAGTAGAAAGGGAGAAGCATGACACCGGGGGTTAAGTTTCAATTTAGAACTAAGGATTTCTTTTTTAGATCAACGTGGAACTCTATCTTCTGAACAGACATTTACTAATGATAGATAATCTAAACAACTAGGTCTTTTTTTGTACATATTGATCACTAAAATAATTAGTGCTGAATTTCAATAATCAACTGTGTTGATTTTTTAATGTTTAGCAATACATTTAGAAAATAACAAACATAACTCTCCTATTTAAAAATTAATAGTGCAAATGAAGCTAGCCTATCAGGGCCAAAAAATATTATTAAACAATGACAGCAATTAAATTGTAATTAAACAACAGTTCTTCACATAAAAATTCAATCAAGTGACGATCTAGAAAGCTGGAAATCCTCCTCGCTCCTTCTGCACTTATTCGGAGAGCAAAAGAGCGTTAGGCTCACACACATACCCTGCCATAAGAGTAGAAGATATTAATAAAGACAGTGGCAAATGGAAATCTGATCTAATTACCTTTTTACTTTAAAAAGAAAATAAATTAAGTTTGCAGCAAGAGAACACTGCAGTCTTTTATTGACAAAGCCCGATGCCAGGCCAAGCCCCCCAGGATCTCATCCTCCTCCCTTGCTGCAGCCGCTCCTCGGCTTTTCATATTTGCACAAAGTACTACTGCAAACCTCGGGTGAAGCCTCTGCCACACATAAGCCTGTCTTCTTGGTATAGTAGCCAAGCACACACACCTAGATCTTTTGATTTCTACAATTATTAGTTGCTAAGAGGTGAAATCAGAATTGGGATCCTAGAGCTAGAAACAACTCTTTTCTCACAAATAAGAAAACTGAGCTTTAAGATGTATAACTGCTTGCCTGAAGCAACTGAGCTCCATGATGGGGAGCATGAGGCCAGACCCAGGCATTCTGGCTGCTTTCCACCCAGCCTCCAGCTTCTCTAATTGTATTAACAACTCAAGGAATTCCCTGTGATGGGCTGCTACTGCCACACCACGTTAGGAACTGAATTCAGGTCATCTTTCCAAAGACCACTCCTCCCTATTTTACTACTTAGAAACAGAAAGCTTTCAAAACTCTCCTCGCCACCAGATTACCAGGAAATTTGGTCAAGACCTGAATTAAAACATTTAGAACTACCATCAGGAAAGACCAAAATAAAGCCAAATGAAAACACGTTACTACACATCATCACCTTCTAAATCTTTATAATGTCTAAATCAGGGTTTTTGACCTGCCAATGGCATGCAATCAAGCAAATACTGAAAACTCCAAGTAGCATGTGGAATTTATAGTCTAAAGGACTTTCTACATAAAACTGAAAAATAAGTGGAAACCCATCTGTGTTTACTCAGGAAGTCTGGAAAAGTTGAGCAAAATGCATTGGAAATACAGGTCTATGCTATAGTGATATTTACTTTATTTCCATTACTGCCAAAATAAAAGTTTGCTTCACTTTTATCCAACAAAGTACCCTTATTCTCAAAGTAAGCCTCACTGCTCAAATGGAATCTTTAAAAGCAGAAAAGCAAATAGATCTAAAGAGAAATATATAGTGATTTCATACTTGGATTCTAAAGACAGAGAACTAATTTTCCAACAGACTCAGCCTGGACTAAAATTTGGAACCTTCAATATGCAGGTTAAAATGGACTATGTAAGGTTATAACATGAGATAAGGAAAGATGCCAGCCTAGTGCAAGGAAAAAACTTGGTTGAAACAATAGGTCCTTCCAGTTTCCAGGATCTGCAGCACAAGTCCTGGGAAACATGGCAACACCAGTGAGGCCCAGGAGGTGAGCACAGGGCTCTGACACCAGCCTTGCCAGAGTACCCATCACAGACCCTGAGCCATTAGGTGGATGACTTGGGGTCAGTTTCCTAACTCCTCTAAAACCTGCTTCCTCGTGGTATCAGGAGAAAAACAACAGCACCCATCTGACAGGACATTGTGAAGATGAACGGAACTTACACATGGAAAGGGCTTAGCCCGGAGCTGGCACACAGTAAGCTCTCAATACATCTTAGCTAATATTGTAGTCAAGACTGAGTAAGGACCTCGGGTTTCTTACCATAGTTAATCCTTAACTTCTTTTTTTCCTAAAGCTCATTTTATTAAAAATAATGTGCTAGTTACAAACGAATCTAAGACCAATGAACTCTAGCTTCCAATTATAGATTATGCATTATTTTAAAGCACAGTGTAGATTAGGCAGTCAACACTAACAAAATAGCTCCAACCCCCATACCAGACCATTGCAAAAGACCAAATCTGTAAAGAGCTTCATCAGATTAGAAGAACAACTCAGCATCTACTTTTCATTCATTCATTTTAAAACTTTACAATTTTTTTGAGTTACTATTTAATTTCATAAATCCATTTCAGCTGCCTATAACTGCTTTAAAAACTGCACTTGGCCGATATAATATCAAAGTTACTCTTGTACAATATTGGGTCTACTTCTAAAGATTTTTGTCAGTAACCCTGAGTTGATAGCCACATGCTGTTGTTGACTATGGATTTCTCCTGTTCAAATTAAAGCAAAGGTCAGGAGAAGCAATGTATTAAAACAGAACTTGAGAAAATACTGAACTGACAGGGCCACTAGAAATCACCTAACTCAAAACCCTCAATTTACAAATGAGGCAAAAGATGTCCAAAAAGATTAAAAGCTTGCCTAAAGACACCTTTGAGTCCACAGCGGAATGGGACTTAGCTCTCAATTCCCAGACGTACAGTCCACTGCTCTTGCCTTTATTTCCCGCTGCCCCAAGGCACAATGAGGGGGCAACCCAGACAGAGGCCAAAACAGAATGGACGAGAAATGCCAGCAACTACATCGTGCTGACAGTGTAAAATCAAACCCCAGTCCATCTTTGACAATTACTTTTACTAATATCAACACAACCAAGAACACAAATAAGTAGAATTGTGTTCAGTTCTGGGTGCTGAACTTCACAAAGGATATAGAAAAACTAATCATTCATAGGAAACAAACTTCATGCTGGGCCGGGAATGCTAGCGGGTTATCATACGGAAGAAAAAGACAAGGCTTCTCAGGGGCCATAGGGGCGCGACTAGAACTGAGACAACATGAGAGGAGATACACAGCTGACTCTAACACAGGCAGAGATGCTTTGTAGTAAAAGATGTGCAGTGACTTGCTGCTGGAATTTCCTACCGCTGTCTCAGAACCTGCTCCAGCCAGGCAGGCAGATGGGGGTCATCACACATGCTGATGATGGACCAAATGACCTCTCGGTCCCTCCTGGCCCTCAAGACTCTGTTTGTTTGGCTACTGCGTGTCCTCCTTAAATTCCCATGCATTTGTGATCTCTTCGCCTGAATGCTGTGCAAACCTATATGAACATACAGGTGCATACAATAACCCCACCACTGACAACAACTAGCCTCTAGTTTTTTCCCTCAAACTAGATGCAAAAAAACGCGAGTTTCAATTTTCTGAATGATACGGCTTTAGGTATGCTTTGTTTTGAGACACACATACACACCACTTTGCATTGATTTCTGCATCTTTTTCCTCAAATAAGGATGTCAACATGCAGGATCACAATTTTTTAAGAAATCTATTATTTTAGTTGTGATTTATCTGTAGGATGACAAATATACCAAGATCAACCTCTACAGCTTTTTCTTCTGATTAGAAACTTAACATTTCAGGTCGTGATTTTTAAAATTAAGTTAAACTCTCAGGTCTAATTACTTCCTTCTTAATTGCCTGAGTTTTAGATGTATATTTACAGATTTTCTCTTTTAATTGTTTTGCTTTACTATGACGAATATATTTCTAAGTTTCTATTTTAAAATTTTCAAGCATACAGAAAAGTACGTAAAACAGTATAATGTCCCTTCATACATTCATCACTGGAAAGAACAATTCATAATATTTTGCCTTATTTGCTTCCTCTATTTCTAGGAGGCTTAAGTACTTAAGTAAGATATCCTGACACTTCACTACTAAACATTTCAGTAGGCATTGCTAGTAAAATTAACAAATTTAATTAATTAGTTTAATTAATAGTTGCTTAGTATCACCTAAATACCTAGTCCGTATTTGAATTTGACAGATATAGTTTTGTTTGATTTGCTATGCAGTTTTGAAATTTTAAAGTCAGAAACAAGATTTAAAATTTTTAATGAGTCAAATTGCAGTGAAAAAATCTCATGAGTTATTCAACAGTTTTTAAAAATTGTGTCAGACATGGTTTTTTCTCCAAAATGTTTATAATGCTCTTCCAACTTTCAAAAAAAGTTGAAAAAAATTATGACCTCTAGTTAGCATGCTAGCATCTTGCCATATTTGTGTGTGTGCGTGTGTGTGTGTGTGTGTGTGTGTGTAGGAATCGTTTAAGTAAAATCACTTGTTAAGCAACCTAAAGATGTAACACTTCACCCCTAAACACTTCAGAAATTTATGACATGCCATGCGGTTTTTAATGCACACAATTAAAATATATAAATGTGTGTTTTATTTTTAAATTCTAACTTAGGCAAACTATTTTTGTTAGATTGCAAAACCTATTGTTTAGGTATTCTAAATTGACTACAAGAATTCCTTTTAAGGATCTGAGAAAGATTCTAAATGGTTACATTACTAAAAGTATCAACATTTTAAATAGTATGACATATAGAAAATTTTTGTTAGTGTTCTACATGGACATGTATTTTTAGTTGGATTAGAAATCTATTTTTAAAAACCGAGAGTCAGCTAAATATATCTACATTTCCCGACACCTATTTTTCCAAACTGTACGCTTTCACTATCCATTTGTAATTATTTTACTTAGCTCATATATTTTTTTAAAAATTGTCTTTCTTAGAAAATAATTTTAAAAGAGAGTCTGATCCAGAGATGCACTTGTTAAAAGCTTCCCGTCTCAGACAACAGGTTCTTAAACTGTCTGACTTAATGATTTAAAAAAAAAAAAATCACATTACCCAAAGGTTCTGGGTGTGTTGAACCTTGTATGATTAAAAATTTGAAAGCAATACGGTTTTCAATTAATACAAATGGATACAACAGAAATATTAATGTGAATCTTAATTGTGTTTTTTTCCCCCACGAAGTAGCAGAAAATAGTCATTTAAGGAACATGTTTTTTAGTTATTTAACATAACTAAAGTTCTATTGAGGAATTGTATTTATTCAATTTCTGCTCTCTATTTCTTGACGTATTACAGTACACTTCAAAATTAGTGCTAGAATTATCCCGTTTTCGTGCTAACAGATATCTTTACATTTAGTTCAATATAATGCTATTTGTTTCAGCTTGTAAAATCCCTATGAAAACCTACAAATTCTTAAGTAAATCAAAACCCAAACGCACTTCCACTCCGTCCCTATTTTCTATGCTTTTTGACCTGAGTTTATATGCTTTTGTTCCTGAAACTGCTCACACAGCTTAAATCGCGTTTCTATGAGTAAAATGGCCAAAGACATTTTCCACTTGCGACTTACAAAAAGGAAAAACTGTTCTTGCAGACGTTGTCTTTGTAGGCATGTCAATAGTCATGACACATGGCATAATTTTTCTAAAACATTTAGATAAAATCACAAAGAAAAAAAAAGCCATATACATCCTAAGAGGTAAAATAAGTGTGGGATTTCCAAAACTGTATATTTCAAGTATAATTCCCAAGAATCTGGTTTTGGAATGACTATTCCCTCATGCTCCAATGCTGCTTCCATTCAAACCAAATCTGTTCACAGCAGGTAGCCCCCACTACAATTAGTTTCATAACTTCACTTTTCAATTGAAGATATTACAGAGCTAATAATCAGTCTTGCACAGATCATCCAGACCCACCTCCTTATTTAACTAGAGCAGTAAACTGAGGCTCCGAAAGTTAGCCCCCATTAAAAACAAACAAAAACCAGTAATTATCCCAGGACGTCCCTAAGAAACTACTGTTAGGTTAACTAAAGGTGTTGGTTAATAAAATAATTGTTTAAAGTGCTATTTTTGGGAGTTAATTTTCACATACACATCATGCTTTTTAAAAAGTTTGAAGGAGAGAAAAGCTTAATTTCCTGTCTGGGAAATGGAAAACGAAGAACCTAGCACCTTACAGTCTCACAGAGCCCCCAGGAAAAACAGTGAAGCAATTATTCATAGGAAACACAGCCACACAAAGGGCTACGAAGCCATTAAAAGAAAATAGGCGGAAAAAAAAAAAAAAAACAAAACCCAAACAAAACAACATCACAACTCCTTCCTCTGGGGAAGGGAGTCATTCATTTGCAAGGATTTGCTGCAATCCGGCCATCAGAGCCAAACTGAGGCTCACTATTGGGGGATGGAGACGGCTTAAAACAAAACAAAACAAAACAAAACAAAAAGGATTCAGAAAGGTCCAGAACTTCCAAATCTCAGTGTTAAAAACATATGTAAATTGCAGGCAGCCCGTCGTGCAGTGACGACCGACGGTGGGAGGGGAGGAGGGGCTGCGGAAGTGAGATGGGAGGGCAAGGCAGAGGTGGAGTAGGGGCCTAACACTGGTTTCCCCCATCCAGGGTTATAGATGCCCCCTGACCCTGGCCAAGAGACCTTGCATTTCCCGTTTATTCTTAGTCTTATTCTTCTTTTTTTAAACAGAGAGACAGACAGAGACAGACAGACAGGCAGAGCCGCAGTGCACACGGTGCGTGTGTCGGAGAGGCCGCCGGGAGACTCACCGCAGCAATGCTACGTGAATGCAGAGGGCTGGAGGTGGTGTGACTACTCACTTGCTCGGCTAACAGCTGCCGGTTTTGGATGGAATTATTCCGCAACAACAAGAAAGCGTCGGTTAAACGCCTGGTGGCCATGTCTCACCCTTTGTGACCCCCCTCTCAGGGGCCCCCCGCCCACTTATAGTCCTGATTGATTCACTTTCTTTCTCTTGAACTGGCCCAGCTGGCCCACCCTTTCACAGCAGCCTCTCCTCACGAGGCCTCAGGTCTTCAGCCAAAAAGGCGCAGCTTTGCGCTTCGCCAAAGCGCAAAGACCCCTCCCCAAATAACCAGCTAGGCTTTCCAATTGTCTGACTCCCCCTACCCAAGGCCTGACTCAGATCTCTAAGCACTTGAATCCCCCCAATCCTTGCTTAGCGAGCCAACGTCCCAGAGACCCCACCCCAATCCAACCTCAGATCTACAAGCGTCTAACTCGCCAATCCGGCTTTGGACGGGGAGGCCCTGAAGCCCCCTACTCCCCTTAGTCCCTGAGACCCCCGAAGATCTTCGCTCCCTACCCCTAACTTGGCTTCTAAGCGTCTAGCATATGCCCTGCGGCGTGGCTCTGACTCAGTTTCCCCTCCAGAGGCCTGGCCTGGGCCCTCTTTGGACAACCCGCGCCGGGCCTGCGCCCTGCGCTCCTCAGGCGCCTGCAGCTCCCTTCTTCCGAGAGCCTCGTCTGAGCTGCTGAGGCCCTGCCCGACCTCCTGACCCCTCCTTTCCTGGGCGGCCTGGTCCTGCACTGCCAGCAGGCTGCCGGCCTGCAGGAGGACAGCAGGGCCTGCCTCCCCGACCTCCTCACTCCTCTTCTCCGGCTCCCTCCATCCCGGGATCTGACTGCAGCTCAGCCCCGGGCCGTTTCCGTGCTGTGGTCCCGGGTTCTGGCGTCCCCCCTGGCCCTCTTCCTGTCCGTCTCTCGCGAGTGCCCCCCTGCGACGCTCGCAAGCCTTGCTCGCTGCGTTCCGGGCGCGGGAGCTCCCTGCCCCGCTGGCCCCAGGCGCGGGAGCGCTCCTCCCTCTCCCGGGGTGCTCCCAGGGTGCCCCATTTCCCCTTCCCAGACTGGGCCCAGACACTAGAAGCAGGCGAGCTGGCCGGCGCGGGCCTCGGGAGCGTGGCCTCCCGGCTGCAGAGCGCCGCCAGCGACTTTGGCGCCCGCTCTAGAGTGGAAGTTGCGCGGCAGGCAAATTTGGGCGCCGTAAGAGCGGAGCGTCGGCGCGGGAGGAAAAGTGAGGGACGACTGCCTCTGCAGGCCGAGCACGCTCCACTGCAGGCGGCCGCTCGCTTTTTTATTTTTTTAACTCTGAAAAAAAGATGTATCCGAAAAACAACCAAGAAAAAAAAAAAGGAAGCGAGAGCTCGGGTCGCGTTGCTGCCCGCGCCCGGGGTCGTGGGGGGCCCCTGCCCTCTCCAGCGGCCGCGTTCTGTAGGGGGCACTACAGGGTTGTGGGAATCTCAAGTGGGAAAGTTCCCCGAAAACTTTGGCACACCCCCCGCCGCCCCCCGGAAGAACTTTGTCATCTGTTTGGGCCCGTGCGCCGGCGTGCTGGGCCTCGCGCCCCCCGTCTGGTTTCCCCCTGGTCTAGGGCTGCTCGCGCTCGCACCCCGACACGCCCCCCGGGACCAGGTCGGCGGGGTCCGGGCTAGGGCTCCGAGAGGCCGCGTCAGGCTCCAGCCGCCCGGGCCCGAGCGAGGCGACCAGAGCCAGGCGGCAGCCCCACCACGGAGGCCCGCATCCGGCTGGGACCCGCCTGCGAGACCCAAGCCTGAGCCGCCTGGCCGGGCGCACCGCCCGAGCGGGTCGGGGTCGTGGGCGCGGGGTCTGGCTAGGGACTTCGCCTTCCCGGGGCTGCGGGTCCGGCTTGGAAGTGGGGCTTCGACCCAGGTTCGTGGCCTTGCAGAGCCGGGAGCGGACCCCAGCGCCTGCCTTTGTTTGTGCATTGAGCAAACTTCACACGCACGCGTGTGTTTTCCGCGCGTTTCCCGTGTGCTGAACGCTTGCAAACAGGGATTCCACCCGGCGACACGAAGCCGGTGCCGCTCACCCAGGGCCCCAGGCCGGCCGGCAGCATCCGCGGGGACCTTAGGGAGGTGGGAAGGGGAGCGCCGGTGACCCCATGTGCTCGTTGTCTAGCAGAGAATGCTCCGGCGCCTTCGTTGTGCAACTAAAAATTAATGTAAAAAAATGTCGTTGGGGCAAGTAACAAAATGCTCAGAATAAAAAATATAGACTCGAGAGAGCCAGCGAGCAAGGCTGGCGAGAGCTTCTGGGTAGGGAATGGAAACAAGAAGCTGCGCGGAGGGAGAGGCGCTTGCTCCGGCATTCTGCGGCTGGGGACGATGCTCGGGCGACAGGAGACCTCGCTGCGGCGCGACACCGCGGACAGCCGAGGCTGCCTGGGTCGCGCGGGAGGCTGCAGGGTCGCCAAGGCGGCCCCTCCAAAGACACAGGCCCAGGGGAGGGAAATCTGGGGAGCCTAGGCGTGGACCTCCGGGCTTAGAGCGACACCCTGGGAAATATTTGCCCAGTGGGGGAGAGCTCTGTTTTCACACGGCGGCCGACCCACTCACCCCGCTTTCGAGATCTGACCCCAGGCACGGGACCAAGCCCCTTCCCCACTCCTCCCCCCTTCAGGGGACAAGTATTTGTAAACAACAACCGAGCAGGTTTTTAGTAAGCACATCAGATTAGAAACATGGTCCTCACTCTGTTCCTTTCTCAATCACTCATCACCTTGCAAAGCGGGGACTGGATTACTTCTGACTCGCTCCCCTGGGCTAGAACGTGATCCTCCTACGCAGTGGCCGTGTTTTATTCATCTTTGTACCCACCGCCATCTCCTCTGGCTTGGAACAGGCTCCGGATACATGTTTTTAAATATGTGCATGAATGAATGAGAAACCCGAGATTTCGTCCCCAAACTCCCTGACCTCCCTGGAGTGACTTTAAGCCTTTAGAACCCTTATCTGTTAAGAAAGAGAAAAAAATGGGGTTTTCATGATCTTTGTAATCCGTGCCCTGTCTACCTCTCCGGGCTTATTGTGAGGATCAAATAAGATAAGTGAAAACGTTTTGTAAACTACCAGGTGCTGAGCAAATATTATATAGGATAGTTATCCATTCATTCCCTCTGTTCAGGAAGCTTAACAAAGTAATTCCTGGTCTTGTGTTTCAGCAGATAGTGGTCGCCCTTCCTGGTCAGTCTTAAATATTTATTACAGGACAGTCTCATTCTTACGTTTAGGAAATCAATCAAGCTTCCATTTCTTTGAGCGAAATGAACAGTGCTTGCACACATAAATAATGGAAGAAAAATCCTTGTATTCCCAAAACAGCCACCTCAAGCAGCCCAAGAGCCCAACAGCAGGGAGATCATAAGAAATCTAAGAGATTGGCATAGCAACCCAAAGGCAGCACCGTGCAGCCATAACCTAGGGCGTCCAAGCGTGGGATCATGTGTGAACTAGTGTTAAGAGGGAAGGAGGGAGCCCCGGAGGGCCTGCACCCCAGTGCAGTCATGTCCATGTGTGTCCTGACCCACATTGGAAGGCAGTTGGGGAAGGATGTAAATCATTATATTTGAATGTTCCTTGGCTGTTTTATTTTCCTGTCAAGAGGCTTAAGTTTTTTTGTTTTTTTTTTTAAGCATTCCCTCATGGCCAAGTGTGTGTTTCCTTGGAATTGAAATCTAGGTTGATGGTTTTATATTTTAAAAGCTTTCATTGTGACTCATTCTTGGCCTGGGATAGAATTCTGTAATACTCCCCAAGCTTAAAGAAACTCGGTGTCCTGTTTCTTGGGCTTCATACCCACTCTCTAACATTTTGCCGGTGGATCCAAGAAGTCACTTTTGGGACAAACGTTTCATTGTCTTCTTGTCATCCTGATCAGTGCAGAAGGAAAACCCAAGGAAGGGGCAGAGGCAGGTTTTCAAGTGCTGAGAAGGTAGTAGTTAGACGAAACAAGTCAGCGGGGACACTCACACCCTTTGGTGAAGAAGTTTAAATGAAATAGGACTCGTAAGCTTTTATACAGGCTCAGCACAGAGTAAGTGCTCCACAGATGGGCACTGTGATTTATTACAGCAGCATGTTGGAAAGCTCACGTGGCCTTTACTCTCCCTGGAAGGTATCACAGTCTCCAAAGAGCAGGGTATGGTAGTGGGAACTGAACGCCATCTAAGCACATTTCCGAGATTCTTCTTCTGGGGCTTAGAATCCAGATGTGTCTCCAATGTGGTCTTATGTGGAAGAGGGGTTTAAACAGTTTCAAATGGACCCCTATTAACTCTGGCCTTTCTAGCGCCTGTAGAAAGACAGATGGTCATTCTTTTATCAAGATAAGCGACAAGAGCCCCCAAGCCTAACAAATGTTTCATTTGCATGGATCTGATATAACAGGCAGATTCGGGATAGATTCAGGTAACAGGAAACTTGTGTTCTGTTCCCCTAAATAGTTCCTCAAAACCTTGAGTGTTTCCAATCTCAGAAAACTCCCTTATTTCTGTCCGTCTTTGGCTGTGGCCTCTCCCAGCAGAGAGGCTCTGGAGAGAGACAACAGTTTTGTTTTGTCCATACCCCATTAGCTTTTGATGCCAGACAATTCAATATAGGAGGCATTTCTAAAAATCTGCCATTGGTGATGCCTGTCTCTCGCCGGCACTGCTACAAAGGATGAAATGAAACAAAACTCTTGCCTCCAGAGAACTGACATCTCCACTCCCTCTGCCCAAACACAGGTGCTCATCATGTGGATTTTTCCAGCAGCCTCCTAACAACCACCCGTCTCTTCTCCCTCCACCCTGCAGCCGCAGTGACCTTTCCAAAGCACAAATCTGATCATGACACTGCCTGATTGAGGCCCTGAAACAGCTCTCTCTTGCCCATGCCAGCCCATCTCAAATGACGCTCAGCAGAAAACAGGTGCTCTCTCTAAGTTGAACCAACCTGGGCCATCACTAATGTTAACTAATGACGGTCTTTTCTTGGTTGGCAGGAAAAGAATTAAGTTAATTGATGGAACAGTCTCCATTTTGAGTGCTTCTCCCTCGCTTCATCTTAACCCTTCAGTCACTGCTACCATTTGGCTGTATCAGAATACAGTCCAAGACTCTAATCTGACTTACTCCAGAATCAGGAATTTCATATACTTGTCTTAATGTTTTGGTATTTCCTGGTGTTTGTTCTGCATATTGGTATTCTATGCTCTGGACACGCTGGAGCCCCCAGGTTGGAGGGCTGACATTCAAAGCCCTGCCCAATGGGTCCCACCCAGGGAGTGAGCTTTTTCCTTTCTAGGACTTGGCCCATATGCTTCTCTGGGCCTAGGGTGGGGCCTTCCTCCTGTTTGGTGAACTCTTCCCTCAAGGCTTAGCGCCCCCTACCGTCTGGT